CTGAACCCTGATCCTAACCCTAAGCGTCCATGGCCTATGGGCCAAAGTGTATACAGATTAACTAAACCATCAGGGTGCGCGCCCAAGTGCCTAACCATCTCAGACTTACCAGCATTATACTATTTTGAAGCACTGGGGTAGGCTGTAAGCCTACAAACCTTGTCTGAAATGAGCAAAGCCCACGACTAACCGACCCGAGTAGTTTAAATAAAGTTGCGCAACTGTGTTCGGGAAGCCCCAAGAAATAGTGCAACGAGTTGTTCAGAGTATACATACAGCTTGCTCGCGCCTGGAAGCATGTACAAAGGTGTGATCATGTGTCTGTTGCTTGGGTTTGCAGCCCTGGTCACATTTTGCTGGGTTAAGGAACTTATATGTACCAAAACCATCTAATCCAGGCCGGGCCTGGAACCAGGACACCAGTACCTTTCTTGGAGGATCATGGCACTTAGCAAGTAAGGTGATAAGTACTTTAGTTGGGGTGATAAGTATAGTTACCCTATCTATAACCCCAGTTACTAAGTCTCATGATCCTGCAAGTATCCTAAACCCTGAGCCCCACACCCTAAATACTAAAGCCCACCCCAAACGGACAGGAAAGCACTGTAGACACATAACCATAAACCCAACAAGGGTTTGGGGCAACCCTCAAATTTTCAGCCTTGTGAATGCTGAACCCTAATCCCTGAGCCTACCGGCTGCCCATGTACAGGTACCATGCTCCAAAATTGAATGTAATTATGCTTTATGGTAAGGATCCGAAAATTTGAAACTAAGGTAAGATAACCAACTGTACAGTCTAGGTACAGTGCAGGACTTCACGATATGAGACTCATGGTTGTGTGTCAATTTAGGAAGGCGCTTACAGTAGGCGTTTTGGATTCATAAACTTAGCTTTGTCTCTCCCGTAGTGATCTACATCAGGGATGACTTGAAGCCAACCGGCGCGTGAAAGACGGATGAGCTTGGAATTGGACGAATGTGATCCCTTTGAGTTTCGGTAGGCACCCTATTCCATGCGGCGCCCCGGGGGCGCCCTCAAGGCGCGTCGGGCTAAAACCCACTTTGTCAACACCCCAGCTGGATTCCTTTGAAGAGAAACTGCCAACAGTGGTCCTCTGTCTTGCGGCTCCGCCGAATCTTTGCTGCCTGTTCCGGATATTGGGCTTGCCTTTGATCCCAACCCTAAACGTTCCATGCTGCCTAATCTAGGGGACTTAACTAACGATTGAATAAAGCTGTGTTTTTGGGGTACAGCGAGTACATCATAGTGTAATTATAAGAAGCAGTCCCCAAGATAGTATTACTACTTATAGTCCCTATATTATTTCGACATGTATTCCGACCCATGTAAGTGTAGTAGACATGTGAACTAGATACCACGTTATTGTGCCACGCACCAACGGATAATCTCGTGCTTTGACCTCGATCTCAGATTTGAGCCATGTTGAAGCCTCCGAAAAGCAGCTCTGCTGTGAGACTTGCCTGTGGCGGTTTTTGCCTTCAGCTTCCCCAAACCAGCCTACAACAGAAACTCTGTGCAAGCCCCCTGGATCCCAACTATCTACAACCTAAACACTTCCTAGCCACATGTACCAGGCATGCCAAAAACACTCAGTCCCAATCACGACGTGAGCAACGCAACGAACAAAACAAACTGCGTTTGACACCATAGAGGTTCGAGGATACAGGTCTTTAATCTGCAACCTTTGTAATGTGGCCTTCCGCATAGATAGACAGTACATGTTCGATGATTGGTCCATCACGTGCAAAAACCCTAAACCGAGCCCTGCCTCAGCTTCCGTCGATACTGCGGGCATCGAAGGTTATTCCACCGCTCCTGAGCGCTTTCGTCCCGTTTTTGCAGCGCAAGCCCAATCCCGAACCCCAAATCCCGGAGCATAGCCCCAAGGGCTCCATGTACTGCAAGTGCCTATACAGCAACCCCCTTAAACCCTAAATATATACTTGACTATATAGGCACATGGAGCCTTAGGGAACAACTACTCGAGCTTGGGTTTATCGATGCCCAGACATGTTGTAACCCTCAAAACCCTAAAACCCTAAACCCTGTAAGCCCTATAAACCTGGGCTTTTAAGTAACCAGGGGGAAAAAAGTATAAACTTTTATTTCATAAAGGTTCCATAAGGAAAAAAAGTATTAAAGTATGGTACTCCAAAGCCCAGAAACCCTGTAAGCCTAAACCCCAACGGCCCCCAACCCCTGATTGAACTGGAACCCCAAACCCTATAAACACCCTAAACCCTGAACCCCAAAATGCACTCCTAAACCCTAAACCCCTAAACCCTGAACCCCAAAATGCACTCCTAAGCCCTAAATTCTAAACCCTGAACCCTGAACCTCAAAATGCACTCCTAAACCCTAAACCCCCCAAAAAATGCACTCTTCAGGTCAGCTGCGAAGGGGCCGGTCGGTCGACCGGCGCCGTGGAGGGTACCAAATCCAACTCCCGACACCACGCAAGCTGCGATGACTATTGTTGCCCAAAGGGTCCGAAGTACCTGTATAGTAGAATGTAGGGTTTCTATACTGGGAATCCTGACTTTGATTTGGGAAAATTATCCCCATAACAATACCTAGGACCCTTTGGGTTGGTAAATGTCAAAATGGGCTTTTCTATGCCCCAAGCCCTAGACCCGTGGAGCTTGGGCTGGGGCCGGGTAGGGTATACCTGCATCGCGATTACTGGCTTTTGGGCTATTTTGATCCCCAAGGGTAGATTCCAAAGAGTAAGTGTCAAAGCGTTAGGCTCACGCGGCGAGGGGCTGGAATCACTGGTGCTTGAGCCAAACTGCAAGAAATTCTCAGAAATCCATCGGCGCAGGGCTTGCCCAGACCTTCCAAAATCCCTTAATTAAGGAATATACCTTAATTCATAGTAGGGATCCTATTATAATTTAGGGTATATTCCTTAATTAAGCGGTTTGGAAGGTCTGGGGGGGGGTTCGGGTTCGACATCAGCGACGAGAATGAAGGCGACGATATTCGCAAATGGAAAATGACAAGTCGGTTGCGAAGTGGAATCTGCCTATAGTCTCCAATGTAGTTCCTTTTTGGGGCTACCTTTTGGGATCCTTAATATAAAATTTGTTAAACCAAAAAAAGGAACTACAATGGAGACTATAGGTGGGTTTGGGGTTTAGGGCTTATAGGGCGTAGGGCTGAAGGCTTTTTGTAGGCCTAGTCCATTTCAGGGGTAACGAATTTAGGGAATGGGGTAGGGGAACTTCGAGGCGGGATTTATCCAGTGTTTGTCTTTCAGTGCCTCGGGTTCAGGGATCAGTTTACCGCTGAGGGGAGTGTTTTCGCTATTTCGTTGTTGTTGGTATCACTGTCGTTGTCGTTGTCTTTGTAAAACTATCTTGCCTTTACTAGGTGTCGATTTCAACTAGGGCTCTGTATATGACAGTATTGTTTCCAAAGCGATACCTAGTTTATAGTTCATGGTGAGATTGTCACGAACATCGTAAGGGATGCCTAAATGATGGACCCCCAAACTTCACCCCAAGGGTCTAAAGGACGCAATAATTAAGTATTCGGTTTTTGGATACTGGTTATGTAGGTTCGGGTCTTGGAGAGTACATGATCATTAGGTACTTGGACCCTTGGGGTTCAGAATCGCGGACCCCAGACGTTAGACCCTACAACCGAGGGACCCTTTGACTTCTGAAGCTGTCTAGGGTTTGGAGGTTAGGGTTCTGCAGACGTGCCTCTGGTCTCCAGTCTTCTATACCCCCCTTAGAACCATATTAAGAACAAAATTGTCTAATATTCTCTTGGGTTTTATATGAACAACAATAAAAAATTGATCCCTAAGGAGACTGTAGTTTTGGGGGAGTGGGTCGCGAACTGGTGAAGCTCTAACGCAGGCTGAGGGTTGTGGTTTTGGGTCTTCCGGTCTGTGAGTCTTTGGTAGGGCCCCAAAAAAGCACATAAGCAAGAATAAGGATAGAGATATCCCATATAAAACCCTGATAACGAAGCCCAATAAGGTAGGGATATCCCCCAAAAAAACCTTATGCTTATGTCCTTTTGGGGGTCCCTAATTTGGGTTTAGGGCTTACAGTGCTTCAGGCGTCGGAAGTTCAGGGCTCAGAGTTTTGGGGCTGGTTTGGTTTAAGTTTGGGGCTGGCTCTTTGTCAGCTCTACGCTGAGGACTTTCTCGTAGCCTCAGAGAAGCAAAACCGGCCCAGGATGCTTGCGGATAGCATGCATGACAAGATACCAGAACGTACCTCTAAGGGTCCATGTACCCAAACACGGTTGATGATATAACTCCTGCATTGCCCATAAAAAGGAATATACCATAATTTCCATAGTCTAGGGTCCATAAGTTAGGTAATGCCGGATACATATCTCATCAATCATTGTATACTTTGGCTTTAGAGGAGTCCCTGTATGGGAGTTTCCGAAAATAGCCCGGCAACCGCACATACTTGGAGGATCATGGGACTTAGTAATTAAGGTTATAAGTACCTTAAGTGGGCTTACAAGTATAGTTACCCTAATTATAACCCCAGTTACTAAGTCCCATGATCCTTTAAGTACTGTAACTTAAAAGCAACCCAGAGGCCCCAAAGCCGGCGAAGCCCTCATGCAAATCCTAACATAGGAGCCCAAATAACTATCCATAATAGAGCTCCTTTTAATGGGATCTACAAGGGCTACTATAAGGGGGCTACAATAGGCTTTAGTATAAGGGCCAAACTCACTACCAATACTCTATTTTTCGGGTTCCTGATTTTGAATGTTAGATAATGGGCCCAAAAACCCTATTCTAATCGTTATATAAGGCCCCTATAGTACAAACCATGTTGAAACGAGATAAAGCCGCCGCAGATAAGAAGTCGTATAGTCCTGAATAGAAACCCTATACAAAAACTCTGCACAAACCCCAAAACCCAAAACCCTAAATCCTAATCCCTGAACCCTAAACCATAATTCCTGATCGCTAAACTCCCCTTTAGACATCTCGGGCCTTAGCAGAGTCAGGGCTAACTGCCATTGCTTGCCACGTCCTCGCTGCGGGCTTCGCTACTTGAAGGATTTCTGGCTTCAGGGCCTCAGGGCGCGGGGTTGTAGGGTTTAGGGTTCAAGGTTCGAGGTTTAGGAGGGTTTAGAGTTACGATTTTTGGCTTGGGGTTGAGGGTGTAGGGTTTGCGGCCGAACTCCTCCAGCTACCTGTTGAGGCGTCAGAAATGTAAGTACGCAGCATAGGTAAACACGCAAGGGTCGTAAGTGCCTGTGCAAAATGGAAAGGTATCTCTTAATTGTGGGAATCACTACGGTTGATGATATAATCCTGCATTACATTCAAGGACCCTACACTATGGGAGTTATGGTATATTATTCCTTATTATGTGTAATGCAGGGGCTGTATGTATCATCAGCCGTATTATGGTCTGGGTTTGCATCCCCAAACCCTAAACCCTGAACTGTACTCGGGACCCGTTTTGACTTCTCGGAAGATCGATGAATTCGGATCGCTTCACATTGTTTATTCTAGCAGTTTGCAGTCGATTGTCACAAAATACTCCCGGAACCCTATGCACCCAAACCGTAGGGGCGTGTAGTATAATTACAGGAACTGCAAGGGCACTGTATACCATAAGGAAGAACAGTATGATGGAAGGAGCTGTTCTAGTATCTATAGCTAACATAAGGGACTAGAGTATACCAAAAAGAACTGTAAGGGAACATTAAATGTCTGTTTTTTTTTCGTGCGCTGTTAGGATAGCTTGACTTTCAAGGCACCTTTTCGCTTGTTGGGTACCGATTTTGGATAGCATCTTCTACATGGCGAGGAACCTATGATAAACCACATGATGAGTACGTACCGTGCCGTAGTACAGGAACCCGTCGGATCCAGGGTACCTGGTAAGGGACACTTTGCTGACGAAGCGAAAGCCCTGTAACAAGCTGGGCCCTTGTTAAGGGAGTTAATTCAAGTTAATTACCATGATAGGGATCTATAGTAATTACACTATGGTTTCCTTGATTTTGTTAACCTATATTCAATCCCCTAACCAGAACCCAGCCAGAGCATCACCAACCTGGGAGTGCGAGGCCCCGGCGCGCCGCGTTCAGCACGGCATTGAACATCGTGACCTCTGAGAACTGACAACTGCAGAAATTAGGTTTAGGGTTTACGGGGAAGTTTTCCGAAAATGAGGGATACCTTGCTTTCGGATCCTTATAATAAGCATAATAAGGACCCTATAATTTAGGGTACTAGATTAGGGTCCCCCACAGGGCTGAATCATGCTGTAAATGGACCTGTTAGGGATTAGGAGTGTAAGATGCCAGGGTTTCGGGTGTTTTGGGGGGTCTAGACTAGGATTGAGGTTTCGGATGTCAGTGTTGATGATGACTTCAGGTATACTATGCACACACTACGCAGGTTGGGATCTAGCACGCCTGCGCAGCACCCGAAAATTCTCAACATTTAAAATCCCCGAAACCCAACTCCGGAACTCTGAACCCTGTCTCCGTCAGAAGCCGGCCAAAGCTTCGGGCCCTGATGGCCTCCGAAATGAACCCTAAAACCCTAAACCCTTATTCCCTAAATTACTATTGCCTAAACTCTAAACCCTAAACTCCAAACCCCAAACTAAAAACCCAAAACTCTAAAACCCCAAACCCTGAAGACCAAGTCCATGATCCGAAACTTCATACCTTCGAGCCCCATAAGAGTACCTATGGTTGATGATCTCAATCCTGCATTACCTTCATGACCCTAAACGATGGGAATTATGGTGTATGCCTTATATTATGAGTAATGCAGGATATATATATATATATACACACTAAAAGTGTGTGTGCATATATATATATATATATTACCAACCGTAGGCAACCGTAGGACCCTTTGGGAGAGCGAAGAACGCAGTCTCCAACAAAAAGCCCCGACCTGGGCTCAAGGCGGTATGCGGCGCATCCAACTTGGAGAGCGTGTCCTTCATCACCCCGCTTTAATGCACATATCTAGCAGGGGTTTAGGGTTTAGGGGCTTAGGATTTAGGGGATTTATGGTAATGTATGAGATATCATACTAACTGTATAACAGATCCTAATGACAGTGATATCACATCTTGTTTGTATATGCTTACCACAGCATGTGTGTACAGAAGTAATCATTGAATGAGCCCTAAACCCTAAAACCGTAAATAAAGGCTTGTGGGTGTGGGGCTGGGGCGTTGAGGGTTTAGCGTGCTCCGAATTTACAGCCGACTATCTAAGCTTAGAAAGAGACCCTTAAGAGTCTATATAGAGTATATGTATATAGTAGGTATATAAGGATCCCAAAATTAAGGGCCCGTAATAGGGGCCCATGGTCTCAACCGTCGAGACTAACAGGAACCCTCTGGCCTAGGACCAGGAGCCCTTAGAGCCTTCCACCCTGAACCCTTCAGGATTTAGGGTTTAGGGTTTAGGGGTTTAGGGTTTAGGGCAGGGTTTATAGGGGGTTAGGGCTTCAGGGGTTTAGGCTGTAGGGTTTAAGGGATTCGGGGGTTTAGGGTTCAGCAAGTCGAGCTCTTGGTGACTGCCGACTCAGCCGACAAAATCCTTAAATCTTGAAAGATGCTATCTACCTCTTCGCACCTCTATATTGAACCCACCCACATCGCACTGAAATATAGAACGCTCATAGAACCCTTCTAGCGCCTCTGAGAGCCCAACCGTAAATCCTAAACCCAAAACCCCTAAACCCCTAAACCCCGAATCCTAAACCCTAACCCCTAAACCCCCATACCCCTAAACCCTGAACCCTACCTAACCCCCCCCCCCTCCCCCCCCTCCCCCCCTACTCTTCTTTGAGACTCCAAGGCGCCAGAAGCTGCCGGGACCAGTCGAAGCGATTGGAGCGCTCGGCCACCTCCGCGTTATATGGGTGGTTGCCAAAATGAGGGTCCCTCTTTGGGTCCTTATAATTAGGGCACCCAAAAAGGGACCACAATTTTGAATAAGTAGGAAATAAGAAGATTTATAAGTACCCTAAATGGAGTTAACACAATTATAACCCTACTCATAATAAACTAAGTCCCCTGCCCTCCAATTGTGGTGCGGCGACACAGACAACGATGGTAAAGTTAGCTATTCACTAGCCGGGTTACCATGGTCGTCAAGACGTTGACCATGACAGAGAGGAGGATGATGCTAATCTAATGAACAGGACGGCAACGGCGATGATACTCGTGATGGTGATGGTGACGATGAATAAGACGAAGAAGGCTGGGCTGAAGCATGCAAACGCGACCGGCCAGGGTGATGTTGCTGGCATCTAACCTATGTTTGGTTATGGTTGTTGCTACTGATGTTGCCACTGAAAATCAGGATGACGAACAGCTTTGCGACTGATGGATACTACTAGATACAACAATTGAAGATCCTTGTTGACAGCGGTTGCAATGCCACTCGGCACTGTTGGTGTTGCCGGCGTTCCTGGGGCTTTTGTTGTTGTTGCCGCTGCATTTGTGCAATTCGATACTGCAGCTCGTGGTATTGCGGCTTCTTGTTTGCTGTTACTGCTGCTGCTGCTGCTGCTGCTGCTGCTGCCGCGGGTGCTGCTGCTGCTGCTGCTGCTGCTGCTGCTGCTGCTGCTGCTGCTGCTGCTGCTAACACTTGTATATGTTACTACGAACAGCCGTTGCTTATCATTGCTTTCCTGCACAGCTGGCAAGGCTGCTCACTGTCAGCATCATGGTCGACTTCACCGTCACCAACGGCATCATCACCGTTAGCTCATCACATCTGCAGCTTGGTCAAACACCAAGCGCCAGCGATGCCATCAGCTACAGCAACTCTGCGGAAATCTCGGCAGTTCCATGACCATCCCGATTTTGGCCGAATGCCGTCAGAGCTAACGACGCTTTTTTGCTGTGATGGCGTCTGGGCCGCTAGCCAACAGGAGCATGTCGTAGGAGTCGAAGCCAGGTGTGATAAGATCCTGCGGAGGAGTCGGTTGTGTTTGAAAAGGTTAACCGACTATACTATCACGGTTAAAGGTTACCTACCTTGACCTACCTTTTTGTAGGTTCTTATCATAAACCCTAATATGAAAGTTATAGGGACCCTACTTTTTTGTAGGTTTTGGTAGGTTAAGGTACTGTACTACCAAGACGGGGTTCCGGGGAAACAGACACCTAAACCTCACTGACAATGTGATCGCATTGGAAAATTTAGGACTTCGTGGGTGGGCGTTGGCTGGATTTATCAGAAACCCTACTTCGAGTCTACCATCCTCCAAAAATCCCGCAGTTTAAGTTTGAGCTGCTCATCCAGTCTTTTTGATTCTAGGCTTTCAGGATTGAGGTGTGAAAGTTTTTTTGGGGGGTTTTGGAAGCAAGGATTTCTCATGGAGTGCTGTAGTCGTACTTCCACGGTGCTAGTTTGGGTGTAGACGGTCTAATACCCTGGGGATTAAAATATCCCAACAGCCTTATATAGTATGGTCTTTGGGCCCAAAATCCTTAATATATGAGTCCTTAGATCCCTAGGGCCCTAGGCATAGTGTTCTCATATGGGAGTTTCCGAAAATAGGGGGACCTTATTTTGGGGTCCTTATAATAAGGATCCTACTATTCAGGGTACTATATTAGGGTCCCCTGCTTTTGGAAACCCCCATATGTGTCATAAGCAGTCCCAGGACATGACCGCTGCTTCTGTATACACGAAGGATCCTCTTTTTCAAGGAAGCCAAGATTTAAGAACTCCCCCCAGAGATCCCAATATCCCGTAGTTAAGGAACATACCCTAAACCATAATGTTAAAGGCCCCTGTATTTTAAGGTATATTCCGTAATTAATGGACTTTTTGGGATCTCTGAGCCTGTATGGGCTGGGAACCCGCTTAGAAAGGCGGCCGAAGCGACTTGTGACCCTTAGAGAATCCGAATACCCAAGTACTTGGGTTTAGTCTTGGTTCTATTGGAGTTTATGTCTGTTTCCGGGTGCCCTAAAGTTGAGTGCTCATGATTCCGGGTGCCCTAAAGTGTCTACATTCCAAGCGGCAACATCCCTTAACAACCCCGAATCCTCAACCACCAAACAAGGAAGAACATCCCCCCAAACAAGCAAAACACCAAAGAAACCCCGAACCCTAACCCCCTGAACCCCAAACTCCTAAACCCTAGACCCACCAACCTTAAACCTCCAAACCCTAAACCCTAAACCCTAAACCCTTAAACCCTAAACCCTAAACCCTAAACCCTTAAACCCTAAACCCTAAACCCTAAACCCTTAAACCCTAAACCCTAAACCCTAAACCCCTAAACAGGAAGAACCACACACCCTGAACCCTCAGACCTCCCGCATGTCGACCCAATAGCCGAGGGCTTTCGCCCACGCAGCAGACTGCGGGTGCGCAGGGCTTTCTTTAAGCGCTCCACCACGGAGCACCGCAGCAATTCTATTCGGTTTCTATAAGGGTAAGAAGGGTAGTTCTCTAAATTCGGGTCCCTTTTAGGGTCCTTTTTTTTCTACGGGTTAGAGAACTACCTAGATGCATATGGTTACGATGGGGCCTTCTCGTTTCAAAACTATCGGGTTGGGGGACGATAAAGCTTCCGCGATGCCAAGTTGCCCAGTCGCTCAGAAATGAGATTACCCTGTGTTCACACTCTTGCCATTTTAGCTCTGCGCCCCCCCCCCCCCCCCCCCCCCCCCCAAAAAAAAAAGGGCAAGATTGCACTCTAAACCCTAAACCCTACCAAAAAGGGCAAGATGGCACTCGTACTGGAAGAGCTCGAGTCTGAAATTTCGCGCGACCCTGCACTGCAAAATCCCCATACGCTTTGTTGTGCAACTGTGCGTATCTTCGGTACTACGACAACCCAGACCTTCCAAAATCCCATAATTAAGGAATCTCCCTTGAATCGTATTAGGGATCCTATTATAACTTAAGGTATACCCCCTAGTTAAGGGATATTGGGATCTTTGGACAACCAACCTAATGGCTTTGCTTCAACACCCTTGGGCCCTGGTACCTCACATCTCACACAAACTCCCCAAAGACTACGGACATCACGACTATCCGAAGCAAACATGCAACTGTTCGCTACTTTGAGCACTTGAAAACAGAGAGCCGATGTAGACCCCGAAGGTATGAACACAGTACTCGTCTTGCATCTGATTTTTGCAATATCATTCGCTCAAAGACTTCGGGTGAGGGTGGACTCTTCGCGATCGAGCCAAACTTGACTTCAATCAGATTAAGGTGTAGGTTAAATGGTTTAGAGTCTAGGCCTAGGGTTTAGCCCTCAACCCTCAACCCCAAACCGCCACAACTGATATCTGACCGGGGCTCCAGCATCGTCGCAGTCCTGGACAGAATGAAGCATACAGGATTTGGTTACAATCCGAGCTGCCGCAATCAAACTGCGGGATAGATACTACTATTGCTAGCAAACAGGGACAGTCTCATCATCCATGGTCTCCTGATTCAATTAAGCAGTTGAAACTTGAAGTGTTGAGATTCAGCCTCAATGTCTCCTGGCATTGACCACACTGGGCCACAATAACTCAGGGATACTATTCTGAGTATGAATATCTATATAACTATTTGCTAGTCTTACTCTGTTAGTATTGTTATGATTAGCAGTAGCAGTAGCAGTAGCAGTAGCAGTAGCAGTAGCAGTAGCAGTAGGAGTAGGAGTAGCAGTAGGAGTAGGAGTAGGAGTAGTAGTAGTTGGAGTAGTAGTAGTAGTAGTAGTAGTAGTAGTAGTAGTAGTAGTAGTAGTAGTAGTAGTAGTAGTAGTAGTAGTAGTAGTAGTAGTACACTAGTTAGTAGTAGTAGTAGTAGTAGTAGTAGTAGTAGTAGTAGTAGTAGTAGTAGTAGTAGTAGTAGTAGTAGTAGTAGTAGTAGTACAGTAGTAGTAGTAGTAGTAGTAGTAGTAGTAGTAGTAGTAGTAGTAGTAGTAGTAGTAGTAGTAGTAGTAGTAGTAGTAGTAGTAGTAGTAGTAGTCTAGTAGTAGTAGTAGTAGTAGTAGTAGTAGTAGTAGTAGTAGTAGTAGTAGTAGTAGTAGTAGTAGTAGTAGTAGTAGTAGTAGTAGTAGTAGTGGTGGTAGTAGTAGTAGTAGTTAGTTGCTAATGCATCCCCAGATTCGGCACAGGCATACAGCGCAATGTTGTAGCTCATGGAGTCGGGTCGCGGAGCATCCTCCATCTGAAAAGTTACTGTGAAGCTTTGAGAGGGGCGATAGGGTTTAAGGTTTAAAGGTTAGGGTTTAGGGTTTTAGGGCTTAGGCATTAGAGCTCTTAGTGTTTGGGGTGTAGGGCTTTAGGGGTTTTGGGTATAGGGTTACTGTAGATCTCCGGGAGGGCCCATAGGGTTTCGGTTTAGGTTTGTGGCTTAGGTTTGGGGTTCCTGTAGCGCTTTTGGAGAGGCCTCAGTGTTGCTTTATTTTGAGGGGGTGGGTTAGGTTCGGACTTAAGGGTTTAGTTGGGTCTTCGGGTTCTATATGCGTGTTGACTTTGGGGCTTGGATCTCAGAGCTCCTGGCGACTTGTGGGTCGTTCTTGGCCGGGGATTCCGGGTACCTGCGCCGGCATCCCCCATCGAACTGGATGAGGGTTTAGGGCTTAGGGTTTAGGTCACTGCCGAACCTAACCATACCTCCAACTTCACGCGCATGTCGAAGCCGTAAAACAAACCCACACTCAAAGCTCCTTCACGGCTCCATTTGCCTCTTTTTAAAGCCCAGGGCAGGGAACACCATGTTTGGGTTTCGTTTAGGGTTTAGGGTTTAGGGTTTATAAATAGGGTTTAGGGTTTAGGGTTTAGGCTCATTAGCATGATCTCGCAGGGTGCTAGTGCACAGAGGTTTCGACGCAGACTTCAGGCCTTTGCCCGCATCTGCTGGAACAGGTCAAAGGCCTGCGTCAAGCACATCACACGCCCTCCGGGATAGGCAGAAAAAGCAAACACCACTCATCATAGCTTGCTATTTCAACAAGCACTAGACAAGAGTCAACAACCACTGCAGCAGCAGGAACAGATTTAGTTCTTGGCGCAGGGCAGTTCAGTGTAGACCTCCTGCCTGACTGATAACCGAGACCACAAACTTCATGCCAAAAAACGCCGTACCTCTTTCCACCGCATACCAGTGACCAGGGCCATCATCACCTCGTTGTATTCCTCTCAGCAGCAGAGGATCCTTTCTGCTTTGTGCCACTTGGGATAGTCCCAGAGGGTCCTAGGTACTGTTACGGGGGATACTTCCCCAAATCAGAATAGTAATTCCTAATATAGAAACCCTACATTCTACCATGTAGGTACTTTGGACCCTTTGGGACCATACAGCTGCGCTAATTAATTCCGTTGGCTTCCCCTTTGGCGGGATGGGGCTCGAGTCTAGGACGCGCAGGGTCTGTGGGTTCCTGCTTCAGGAACTAGGAATATCACTGGAAATTACTCAGGCTCCCAAAAAAAATCTAAGCCCTCATCGTCCACGCAAGACCCGAAAGCTCCAGTCCAGGGATCCCACAAGTAGTCAGACCTTCCAAAATCCCTCAACTAAGGATAGTCTAGCACCCGTCCTGCAAAATCCACGATCGCTTTTGTTGCAGAAGTGGCAGGTGGAACTCTGTGCTTTCCGGATTGCGCTTTGCTGGTCCCGGCCAACCCTTTCCTAACTCCCACACCACAGCTCCAAGCATCAACCATACACTCGGCAAGACCTAAAAAGCCTGAAACTTGCACCCCAAATGAAGCCTAAATTTCAGCATAGTAAACCTAAACTTCGAAACCATAAACCTAAACTTCCAATCCCCGAACCATCAGCTTAAGATTGAAGCCTATAAACCCTAAACCCTTCAAACCCTAAACCCTAAACCGTGATTGAGGCCCGGAAGGGGCTCTCGGTTCCAGAGCCTCCACGCCCGGCTCCAACCCAGAGTCCTTAGGCTTTTCCCACAGGTCCCAGGTGCTCCAAACAAGGCTCCTTTGAGGGTTCTATAAGGGTGCCAGAAGTAATAAGGGCTAATAGCGCCAATTTTTAGGCAATAAGGGTACATGCACCCACAGAGTATATACCTGGGGCTAAAAGTAGTACCTACTACTTTGGGGCCAAAGTCTCTACTATTTGGGTACATGGACGCTCAACACCCAAAACGCTATAGAACCCTTATAGAAACCCGTAGGCCCCTAGAAGGAGCCCTCATTCTGTTCTGGTACATGGACCCCAGTGGGCTTCAGTGCACGGGAAGCAAAACCCTAGGGATCAAAATCGCCCAAAAGCCTTAAGTCCTCACATCCCTAGGGAAAATCGGGAGAGACGCAGAGGCCGGAGACAACTCGAGCCTTGAGAGCCCACGGGGAGTTAAGTCTTCGGGTTAGGGGCCCCAAAAAAGCACGTAGGCATAAATAAGGACAGGGATACCCCATATAAACACCCTTATAATGAAGGACAGTAAGGTAGGAATATCCCCATAAAGTGCTTATGCTTATACGCTTTTTGGGTCCCTAAGGGTTTGGGGTTTGTGGGGCTTACGGTTGAAGGGTTTAGGGCTACGGAATAAGCCTGCCGTGATTTCGTGGCAAAGCTTGAAAGAACTGGATCTTATTCAACACTCATTCTGGTTTTCGTTGAGTTAGCCATTTCAAGCTTCCACTGAAATCCGTCAGTCTACACTCCTTCATATCCTCTGAAATTCATGATAGTGAACGGCTCTTTATTATTATCACAATTTGCGATGTCTCATGTTCCTGTGAGTTGCGGACACAGCATGCGGTCGGGTCGCCTTCGTCTCTTGACGAAGAGCTTTCGTAAAGAACGCTCAGTAAGTTCTTGATTGGGTTATGAATCTCCTTGCCTCCTACAAGAAAGTGCTAATCTGTATGCCAAGACTTCCAACTAAGAATGAACAGTAGAGACTTCATATCAAGAACTGAATGCCGCGTGAGCGTAAATCCTAGGCTCCTGAATTCCCTAAACCCTAAAATGTAAGCTTCACACAGTCTGATCAACATCCGAGGAGGCGGCGCGCAAGTCCTGAAAAAGCATAAGCACCGAGTTGTAGCTGTACCTGAGGGTTGGGGGTTCAGCGTGGCTTCAAGCTGTGGGCTCATAGTTTCTTCTGAAACTGATCCAGGCAGTTTGAGAATATCACTTGGGACCTGCAGCACCACTAATACCTACTGCTCCTACTCCTACTCTGAGGAGGACAACGACCGCTACTGCTACGACGGTGAGGAGGAGGAGAAAAACGACTACTACTTGCACTACTGCGAGGACTGCGACGACGATAATGTAGACGATTGGGGCTGTTACTACCTCAGGCGGCACCTCGGCACAAAGAATCACAATTGACAGTCCGAGCTCACGTATCTGCAAGACCTAATAGGTGCAAGGGCGCAAGCACTACACAAAATTCTTCAGTGACGACCTTTCGAATCACATGTTGCATGCAGGCTATCAGGGATTCTTTTAACTTGCTGCCTTTGGCATGCAAGCTTAAGAAAACTAAATCAACTAAGCGATTGTAAGCAGCGTCCATCGCTGCGCAAAGGCTTGTGACACTACAACAGTGCATTCTCACACTCTGCGTACGGCATTCTGTTGCTTGTTCAGGCTGTCCACGGGCTACCGTTACCTTTAGACCTTGTGCCATTAACCTTGAAAACCTAAGCCTCAAACCCTACAGTCCTAAAGCCCTAAGCCCTGACACCTGACACCCAACCCCGTATCTACAATGTATAGAGATACATAAATTGAAACCCTCAGCCCTAAACCCCTAAACTCCAAACGCTGACAAACATAAACCCTCAGCCTTAAACCCATAGACTCTACAGCCTCGGCTTCGGACAGTCCCCGATTGCAGGTCCTCATCGCTTCGCGGTAGCTGAGGAGATCTGCGGCAGGAGCCCAGAAACGGTAAGCAAGGGACCTAGTAAGGCCTTTTAGGGTTCAGGGTTTAGGGTGTAGGGCTTTATCGGGGTGTTCTAATAAAGGTTCTAGTAAGTTCCCGGGATTGCTGAAATACCTCAGAGTTTCATTCGGCTTCCACACGCCTGAACCACAAAAGCAAGACCTAACCAGCAAGTCCAACAATACATCGGGAGGACAAAAGTTTGACCTACTGCATCTGTCTTGTCTTAAGGCGTCTTGCGGAGTAGTGGAGCACCGAAAAGTGCGATTTACGTGGCCTGGCCAGCGGAGTATTTTATACCCCGTTTTGAAATTATACTGCTTTAATGTTCGGGAGGAGTAGCCAGTTGGTCCTGCTTGTTAGGATTCTATGGGAGAATGGGAGCCTGTGTTCGACGAAACAAGGAGTAGGTCAAACTTTCGTCCTACCGCAGTAAACCCTAAACCCAAAAGCCATAAGCACCAATTCACAAGGCGTGTCTTAACTGTATAGCCCGACAACCCGAAAGCGTAAATAACAATTAACCCCGACATCCTTTACTTCTATGCATTAAATCAAGAACAGGAACCTAAAGCCCCCCAGATACTGACCCCCAAAAGCCTACGGCTAGACCCGCAATGCTCGAAGGTCTTAGCACTTTCCTGAAGGTCGCCACAGGAGCTGAGCTAATAGCCAGGAGCTCGGGCTGGGACTTCAGGTTTTTTGAGATGGTATTTACATGGGGGAGTACATGATTGCTAACTTGCTAAGAAATTACTTGGACCTTCGACCCCACACTGCCGAAACCAACAGTTTGTAGGGTACCAAGAATTCACCTCTAGTTACTCCTCATAAGAAGAACCTACAAGAACATGGTTATGGTACCCTAAGGTTCCAAGTGGTCCTTCTTTATGGTTTTCGTTACCTGCAAAATCCTAAAATTGGGAATACTTGTACCCTTAGGATTAGTTCACGGTAAACCCTGGCCTGGACCATCACCCTGACAGAACGACAAGAGAACGCAGCCTGGTCCGAGGGCTGCAGCGTTCATCTCTTCCAGCAGCGCCAGGGAAAGCTTCCAGTAGAAGCGCCTATCTTTTTTGTGTCCCAGAGCCTACTGAAACCCTAAACCCCTAAACCGTCCATAGACAAAATGATGAAGGTAGGGAGTCGAGACAACCGACCTGGGAGACTTTTGACAAACAACCCTGTTGTTCCCCAAGTCCTACATAAACCTGCGTTCTACCTATAGTCTCCATTGTAGTTCCTTTTAATGGTTAACCAAAATCTTTATCCAGAACCCTAACCATAAAACAGGTTAACCAAAAAAAAGAACTACAATGGAGACTATAGGTAGGGTTGACTCTGGCTTCGACTTTGGGGGCAAGGGGTTGGGATCTCACTAACCTGGGTTCTCGGGTTTCCCTAGGGATCAACATACAGGGAACTCCAGAAAGTTGGAATATGGTTTCTTGGTAGGATACCCTATAATTTACCATAGAAGGGTTAGGATAATCATATTCCAACTTTCTGGCTTTTACCTTAGCCCAAAAGCCTAATATAGCATGGTCTTTGGGCCCAAAAGCCTTGATATATGAGTCCATAGATCCCTAAAGTTTAGGGCTAAAGAGATTATTGGGTTTAGGGGTTCGGGACGTTTTCGGATATTGGCTTTGTACGCTAGTCCGTAAGTATCTGGGCTTCATAGAACAGAGAAGGCATATAGGAGAATCTCTAAGTGGCGTGTGCAGGGTGCATAACATCGCAAGCGCAATGTAGAGTCAGTTGTTCGCATTGAGCTGCGGTTGCTTTAGTCAGGAGGTGGCAGCACGAGATGGTCTACGCTGATGTACAGGTGGCATTCGTCAGGGCATACTTCTGCCCTGGCCACTGGCCTTTCTAAGCATATCCTGAACCTGACACTTCTGCCACTCAGCTGCATAGACTCAGAAGACATTGAATTATGCCGTGTGCTTTCACTTGCCGTAACTATCAAGTCTTACAGCACGTGTGATGCCCTGACTATATCGAAATACCGGATCCTGTGGAAACTCTGGGTGTAGTCTCAACGCTACTCCAACATACTTCTGCCAAGTCCAATAAAGACAGACCTTCTCATATGTCCCCTGATCCTCGACGTAGTCTCAGGATGTCTCAAGTGTGATGCAAGTTCTAGCAGCAGAATCTATAAATCCACACCGCTAACTCTCCGTTCTTGCAGCAGTTTTGGAAACAGGTTCGGCTTTGCCCATGAACTCTACAGCCTACATCCCTGTACCCGTAAACACTAAATCCTTGAATCCTTCGGCAGCCCGGCACGCAAATTTTGCCCAGCAAACAGTGGGCACCCGTGCCAGGGCCACAGGTACTTGCCCACGTGCGCTGCACAAACACACGCGGGGAGCTCCCTTTTAAAGGGACCCCACTCTGCATTGTGTTGTCTCTGATAGCAGATGACCAGCCGACAACCCCTTAAATCCTACCCCACACCCGCAACTTCTTCGTCACCGGTGGCTTCCAGCTGCTGAATAAACTCACGCAGCAGCGATACAGCTTCTTCGCCCTTGCCATTGTCCTGTTGGGCTTTGGGAGTGTGTGTTTTTGTTGTGCTTTCTCGAATTTCAATGCGAGGTTTCTGGGATCCTGAATGATCCTGAGCACTTCACCCTGATCTCAAAATCCAACTGGCCCCAGGCCAAAGACCAAGCCGAGTTCGAGCTCTGTGCGTCTACCAGGAATCCATAGAACGGTTCTCGCAGAAAAGCGGAAATGGGTTCTATGCCTCATATCCTGGCTCTTGACCAATTTTCTCTGCATGTTGGGAAGTGAAGTGGTTCACCTGCGTGAACATGTTAACCCCGAAACTGATGGCGGAAAGCTACGAGTGCTACCATCGTTGCCACTGCCTGACCGTGATTGTGGGAATTACACCTGCTACCGTACGTGTATGAGTACTACCGTGTTGCAATGTTGCAGTTCCAAATACCATCGATGAAGATTGTGATATGAGATGCTGCTTTGTAGTAGCGTATATTGACATGTTGCTGCCATCCCATCGGTGACCATTATATTTCATCCCCTGTGAACTACGTATTCACGAAGCGGCATTCGGTGTCCTGCAGCACCTCTGCAAAAGCTTCGACGGTCGCCTGACAATCTTCTACGCCTACCAGCACTTGTCCGCAGCCCGAGCTTCAGAATTGAAATCGCAGGCGAAAGGAGCAGTTGCAAAGCAGCACCGGACCTAACCTATTCAACCCTGCTTCGAAGAAATCGGACCGAGCTTGTTTTCAGTTAGGTGTACCTGTGCCTTATAGACGACATGATCGCTAACAGATTGAAGTTTCCTGTGCCCTACAGGGATTCATTGTACGAGGGGTAATTTGGTCCTGAAGGTATATGACGGGTTTTTCAATCTAGCAGAGGGGGTATGACCTCCATTAGAATTTCTTATTAAACTTTCTACCAAAAAATACAGCTTGTTAAAAGGCACCCTTCGCATCCTAAACCAAGGCCCCACCTGGGTCTGGCTGTGTGCATCACCCATCTCTGCACGCCGATTGCGCAGGCAGCCTCGTAGGAGAAGTTCTGCTTCATCCAACCTGAGTCAAGGGCTCAGTGGGTGAGTGCTTGATGTGCCGTTAAACCCGACCCAGAACTAGGACTTCTGAGACCCCAGAAGACCCCCAGGGCCCACCGTAAGCGGTTCCGGAACCCCCTAAGCCCTAAGACCTTAAACCCTAAACCCCTAAATCCTAAGCCGGATTAGGGTTCACGAGGCTAACGGGTCCTAGTGCGCGGTCCTAGTCAGTGGAAATTGAGACCTCGCCTTATGAAGGAAACCTGCTCGACAAAGAGCCAGCACCTCCAATATAGAGGCCTTAATTAATTTAATAGTTAGAATAGGGTTTTGGAGTATATCATACTATAGTTATAAGAAGGAGCCCTGACATGGTTATTGGTAAATTCTTAACCATATATTATATACCCATGTTACCCTACTATCTAGGTAACTGGATTCCAAGGGGTATGCATGAAATACCGGTGCCGAGAGACGCACCTTTCTTCTGCAGAAGCACAGCCAACAAGTGAACACTCGTAAGAGTGTGGGGATGCAATTCCTTGCAAGCCGCTGTTCAGGGCGTCTAGCACTTCAGGCTACAACGGCTGCAATACACTTCAGCTGCAATTCAACAGTTGGCCTACTTTGTTCAGTCACCCAGCAACACTAAAACCATCTTCACAGCAGACAAGGTTCACCCAGCTTCGCACGACACGCCTCGAGGCATTGTCGGCGGATACCCTCTGCTTCAGAAATCTGGCCCTTCTTTTCCAACAGCGCAGCCAAGCGATTCCTCTCTGGGCCGAAACAAGTTCAAAGTTTCGAAGATAGACCACATGTAGAAGCCCAACAATGTGAAAGTTCTTCCACTGGCTGTCTGAGATTCATAGTCGCCAGGGTGTCTGGATGAGTCTCGCCAAGCACACTCCGACGATTCCTTACGTGTCCAGTATGCTAGGGATACAGTACCCCAACACGCCCTAAAACCCCTGAACCGCTAAACCACTAAACCTTGAAAAACAAACTAAAAACCCCTAAACCCCTCAACCCGGAAACGAAAAACCCCTAAAAACCCCTTAAAAGAAAAACAACCCTGAAACCCTAAACCCTTAAACCCCCTAAAAACCCCCAAACCCTCGACCAGAAGCCCTCAATCCAAACCCCTGAAGCCCAAAACCCTAGTGAGCACCCTTATAGAGCCATTTAAAGGAACCACCGTATCATCCCCTTTAAGACCCTTAAACCCTAGGCTAAAGGATACTTGCTCTCCCAGAGGCTCCATGTACCTTCAGAGTACATAACTAAGGCTTAAATGGATCCCTCTATAGGCACTTTAAGGCCTAAGTTTCTACTACGAACCCTAAACCCTAAATCCTAGACCCTAAACCCTATATGGGCACATGGAGCCGTAGGCTCTGCTGCTAAGGTTCTCCGCGCACTCGCGCCGAAGAGCCTCAGAGTCCTCCAAAAGGCCCTGAGGGATTTCGAAGCATAATTAGAGTAGGGATCCCTTCAAGGTCTATAAGGGCTACTACAAGGGATCGGTAAGGGTAGCATAGTATCGGTGCCTTAATAATTACAGTAGGGTTTCGGGCACATTTTTGACGATTGTTATAAAAAGGACCCCCCCCAAAATAGAATAGGTAGTTATTAAGGCCTCGGTAGTATCCTTTAACATTTTTTGGGCTTTGAGGCTGAGGGGTTGGGGGTTTAGGCCTTCGGGGTTGAAGGGTTCAGGAGTTTAGGGTTTCAGGAATTAGGGGTTTCAGGGGTTGAGGGCTTAGGGGTGTTGAGGGGTTGAGGGTTTAGGGCTAAAGGGCCCAGGGGGTTAAGGGTTTACGGATTGGGGCCTGATCCTCCAGAAGCTCGGCTACATCGTCCATGCTCCTGCAGGACCACCATTCACCGTCACAACAGGTGTGGGGGCCTTTTTAGTCAGGGTTTAGGGTGGGGCACTTAGGTGAGACTAACATCTCAAAATGAGATGTGAACAGTATACTATAGGGGCCTTAATAATTAGAAGGGGGCTTTGGGGCCCATTATACTGTAGTTATAACAAGGAGCCCCCCACAATACTATAGGTAATTAATAAGGCCCTTGTATTACCCGTCTATCCTCAGGGTGGCAGGGTGGGCATCGCCCAATGTGGCGCGACGCTTCTGTAGGCATTCCCGGTAGAGAATCTCCACCTCCGGCGGGCAGTCAAATTATGGAGGATCGTGGGAGTTCGGCTTCCTTGCAGCACAAATTCACCATGTGCAATCCTACTTCAACAAGTACAAGAAGTTGCACAATCAGGAACCGACCCTGAAAACAATACACGGGGCCTTAATAATTGGAACTTGGAAAAGGGAGGGGGATGGAGGGGGTATGTTGCATAGTCTATAGTGATTGTACTAAGGAGTATGCCGCAGAATGGTATTGGTATGTATTGGCAACTGATCAGGCCCCTGTACCAGAATCTAGTTGCACTTCCGCAAACACACGATGCTGTGTTCCACGGTTCATGAGCTTCTCAAAATGTCAGCA